GGGGGTGATGTGTAGAAAGGATGTTAAGAAAACATTCATTATAGGACCTGCTGCCAATTTCTTAAATGATAGATATCAGAGCTGAAATGAAATATGTTCTCCTTTTCCTTATAATGTTTGATCTTAAAGAATATCTAGCTTCCACAGGAAAATGTAGTCTTACATTCTCACAATCTCACATGTTTCAAGCATAATTGCTCTAGAGAAAAGCTATTACATCACAAATCAAAGTCTCTCGTCGCCTCAGTCAGGGCGATTATGTGTACGGCACAGCTGGCAATCATGCCCAGCAGGACTAATTTGAATTTCATGTTCTATTGTGGGAGACGGACAGAGTGATAGACGGCTAAATTGCAGAGAAACAAAGTGACAGGCTTTTTATTACTAACCAACCATGCATTTATTCTGCATCCTGGCAGCCTTTTTTCACATGGAGACCAGCAGAGTCCACAGCATCACATATTGTTCCCATGAGCAGCTTGCCTTTGCAGGAAAGGTGTAAATGAGAGGAGCTGTGAATCTACCTCACCATACCTGGCTCTTATCCAATGGACAATATGCTCACAGTTTCTGATAAGTCTGGGTCATTACGTCTGTAGACGTAACATTTTCTCTCCTTTGTCATACAAAATTACACAAATCTGTAGCTGTTAATGCATTCATTTGCATGCTTTCAGTGAAAGCATGTGCCCGTACCATGCAATTGTACTGTATGCTCATTGCTCGCCTATATTTTCTTTTTGATAGCCCACACAATTGTTATTTTGATTTCAGCCTTTTTCCAAATAGAGGTCAATCAGAAATCATACTTTTCGTTATAATGGGCCTAATCAAATGTGCTTTCTTTTTTTTTTTTCATTTACAACTCAATCAACTGGCTGAGGGTAGCCTACTTAACCCAGATTCAACCTATCCCATAATACTCTGGACTAATAAAACGTCTGTGTTGTTGATATATTATTAATCATTATTATAGCATTATTGTTTGGGTAAGAATATCAGCCTCAGCATAGGGATTCAGGCTTCGCCGTTCCAGAGTAAAAAGAAACTAACTGGATGTGGGGAAGGTGCTGTTATGGTCGTCAGCGCTAGCTAATAAATTTGTGTTCAAAACAATGTCAGAGTCAAGAATTAGCCAAGCAAGTTTTTGTTTTAATTCAAGAAAGAGACAGTCCTCACAGTCCTTCCCTTTGAAGGTGGGTTTTATCTATAGGAAGAGACAGGAAGTGGAACTTTGAGTGAGTAGAGGCAATAGGCCTATATTTATTTGTGTGTGTCCTGAACTAGATAACTTTTTTTTATAAGACAACGATTTATACATTGTTGACAACGTACAGTTTGCAATGTATACCCAAACGTAGAATAATGCTAACAGCAACGTTAATGCTAGCAGAATAGACAAGCTAACGTTTTTAACAGTTTCTTTACAAATGCCCACTGACTCTAAATCAATACCAGATAGGCCTACTTCAACTATCATTTGTATTGGGTTTGTGTGCTTCTTTTACTTTATATGAATATTTTTATTTATATTCTAGTTTTTTTTTTGTGTCTTTTATTTTCAATAGCTTCCATGTCATGTGACCCAGTTACTCAAAATCATTGCAATATATACCACTGGACGAAAGGTCAAAACAATTTCCATCTCATATTAATCCTCCTTTTTCAAATGAATATTTTGATGCAAATTCAGCATTATTCTGTTAAAAATACGTGATTTTGTTCTCAGGAGCCGTTATGTGGCCTTATGACTCAAAATCAATGCAGCATTGTTTTACTACATTGGATATGTTGAAGATTTTTTACTGGATATTAGTTCACCTTTTTAATATGAATATTTCATTAAATCAGCAGTCTTTCAAATTTAAACTCTTGGTTTTTTCTAATTGCTTTTTTTCCCTAGTTTGGCATCTGTCAACTGCAGTTACCAATTTGATTATATATTTACAGTAACCAATTGAGTTGTTGCTGTCAGAATATGAAACCTAACCTCTTTGGCCTTCTGTCAGCTGTCATTTCAGTATTTGACAGATGTGACCAACCTCCACCTCCGGTTTTCATTAGAGCCAGCCCCAGAGAGTGTCGCAGCTTTGAGTCCATCTGTTAAGACTCCATCCGAAGGTATTATACACCGTGTGACAACAAATAACAATATCATGACGAGGAATAGTGGAATAGTTCAACATTTTGGAAATGGTCTTATTCACCTTGTTGCCACGAGATGGATGTGAAGATTGATACCCCTTTTATGTCTGTATGCTTAATATGAAAGAGACCCAGAAGTGCAATTTAATAATTTCAGAAAATGCCACGCTAAGGTTAAGCTTTTCCTTTTTTATTTACCCTCCTCCTAGTAACTCTAAATTAATAACATCCCTGCTTTTAATCAGTCTCTTCTAATTACAATTGTGGGATTTTGTTTGCATGTTGTTCAACAGTGAATTTAATTATTCATCATATTTAATTGTAACAACCAGCATGAAGGGTGATTATGTTTCATTCTTAAAAAGCTCAGATAAACTGGGAATTCATTTGGAGACCTGAGAAACTCATGGCTGTTATCAATCAACCTGCAGCTATGAGCTACAGCCAGCGCTCACACTGCAAATCAATGACACGCTTCGTTTGCTTTCCTCAGACAAATGTGTTTGTGGTGAGCTGTGGCACATCCACTCATATTGAGCCCTGGAGACTTGGTATTGCTTTCTGCTAATGTAAAAATGTTTTGGCCTGTGCTGCATATACTGCCTCACCACTGACCTCTTGGATGAGAAGTGATGTGTTGTGACCGCAGGGTGTGTGAGATAGAGCAAGATGTACTGTAATTAGTGTAGAGCAAATACAGTAAAAGCGATATTGTACTTTTTCTATATCCTTCACATTTTCAAACCCATAACGCCTGTTTTCTAAGTCCCTCACTACACCTATCTCCCTGCTATTACCCCATCTGTCAGTGTGTGTCCACGTGGCATCTAAGCACAGCGGAGTGAACAAATCTGAGTGGACTGCCAATACGGGGCACACCATGACATCCAGTGTATAAGCACAAATGCACCCTGAGTAATATGCACTTCATGGATTTAACAGCAGAGAGAATGTAGGAAAAGTGACGGAACGAAAAGGGGATAAGGGGCGAGATTGTGAAGTGTAAAAGAGGTAATAGCATTGGAAAGGAAGGATGTAGGTGAAGATGAAGAAGGGGGAGGGGATGGACTGGGTGTGTGTTACGCAGGACACAGTGTCGCTCTCCCTCGTCCTCCTGCAGCTCTAGACACACTAACGCATGATGACTCTGCTGGGTGGAGGGAGGGATGGCAAAGAGGAGGATGGATAATAAGAACGCTCCAGAATCGGTCGGCCTCCTCCTCCTCCTCCTCCTCCTCCTCCTCCTCCTCCTCCTCCTCCTCCTCGCCAGTACCAGATAAGCGCAGCAGGCAGAGCAGGGAAATGAGGAAAGGGAGGGAGACAGGGCGAAAAAAGAGATAAATGATGCTGTACATAATGATGAGCTTTTTTTATTATAATTTGGCGTACCATTTACTGAGCTCTAGTTATTTTTGTTTATGTTTTTCAAGAGTGCCCGTGGACCTTTAATGAGCTTACTCACTGGTTAATGCAATTACATAGTGGATACAGTCATTTAAACAGATGCTGTGTTCATCTGTGGATATCACTGCAAAGCTCTTTAGTAATCAATCCATCTTAGACAGCAGGGGGGCAGTTGGACAGATGCATTATCAACTTGTAAAAGCAAAATGCTATATATAACTTTCCTACACAAATAACTGGTTTCAAATTACATATAATGTTCATCTGCTGATACTGTATCTAGCAGCATCTTCTCCTCAGACACAGATGCTTCTGTGTTTTTAGGGGTTGATCTGCGTGCTGACCTTCGCTTTTAATGAGGTGTGTTTCTCAGGCAGGGAATTTGATGCAGCGTTGCCCTCATGAAATCTGAACTGGAATAAATGCAGGCACTTCATTGGTGCGTCCTTTACTGTATGTTTCCTGCTGAATCTGAATGTCACAGTGATTATGAGCTTACTAAGATTTTAATTCCCATGCCTGCTTTTAAATCCTCCAGTGTGCACGAAGAAACTCAGCAACCAGTTTTCTGTCTCTGAAAATGAATATTAAAATGGCCACATTGCTCTTTGCTATTGTGTAATCCTCTGTCTCTCTCTGTGTAACTTCAGAGGTGATGATAATGCTGTGTCAGTGTGCCTCACAGGGCGCTGAGTTAGGGTGGCGTCCCTCCTATGATTGCAGTTTAGCCTACAGTACAGTGCAGCAGTTTCGAACAGCATGAGGGGTCCCATGGGCGCAGCTACATAATTCGTGGTCTGCTAAATAAATAAAGACTCAAGTCTCTTCGGGGCATCTTGCGTAACACTGAGACTGACAAACAGAAAGTGACATTGGCTCATTTTGATGCTCCCCTATGAAGAAACAACACCGCTGTAGAAAGTGCAAGAAACATGAATCTATGATTATCAGAAATTACTTTGTCATTGCCCAATGGTGTTACAAGAGGCGCCTGCAGTGTGTTTTAGCCACAGTGTGCACTTGACCTTTTATGCCTTGGCAATCATGTGCGAGCCACTGATAAAAAGGGTGTAGTAGGGGAGATAATTATAAACAAACACACCCCACACAGCCACGCATTAAGCATGGTTTCTGGCTATGAACTCACGGGGTCCTGCATTTTATTATGCTGATTAAATGCAAGAGGGGTCGTTTATTTGATGGAAAGCCATTGTTGAGGCGGTTCGTTCATTCATTATGTCGCGCAATATGTCAGAGTCCCCCAGCTCATTATGGTGTGGACCATTTGCACCTGCGCTCATGCGATAGGGCTACACCAAATAAGGACATGTGAGAGACCCTTGTTGGGATGACGTGAAATAGGAAAGAACGGGAAGGGTTTAGATCAAACTGGAGGGGGAACACTGAGTTAATCTGGTTACATAAAAAGCTGTTGAATGTGCGGAAGGTCTCTGCGCTAATCCTCTGAAGTATTCATGTTTAACTGTCCCGCGGCGGAGTGACACGCAGGGCACACTTGTGGCTCTGAGGGCACAGATGCTCTGCATACATGCTGCGCGTTTTAAACAAGATACATGCACAGGCTGATATATTAGTGCTTCGTACATTTAAACGCATCTCTGAAGGAGCTTCTATGCCAACGTTGCAAACCCGAACTGGCGGCTTGTGCTGATCGCGCCCGTGACGATTCCGCTGACGCGCCACTAGCCGCACCACCCAGGAGACGAGGGGAGAGCAGAGAGCGACGAGAACCGGTCTCTCTTTCTTTTCTCCTTCCTCGACGAGCGTTGACTGCAGCTGTGCAAGTCCCGTGGACGATATTAAACTAGCGTTAATCCCAGCATCACCCAGGCTGCAGAGATGGAGGTACCAGGTTTGGCGCACAACATCAGTCCATTAAGTCCCTGCGCGGGGATGATCAAGGACTTGAGCGCATTACAGTTATGCGAGAGAGATGGTAAGGAGAGGGTTTTTCACTGGGGTGTTTGCAAATAATATCAGTGCATTAGCCTATATTTTACATTTTACAGACGTTGCATGCATACAGTCTGCTTGCTCATTGGTTTTAGCTGCATGTTGCCTTATTGTGTGTTTGAAGGGAGCAGGGGCCGGTCGCTCCGCTGGTTCCCTGCTTGGAGCGATGGTGCGTGTGTGGAATAGCTGAGTGTCTTTTCAGTGGCAACGAGGTTTGTTCGGATGACCGGGGAGTTTGCTCAAAACTAAACATGCAATATTATTTCAGCACCATTGGCATGGACAGAGATCGGCAGTTACCCCGCCTATAGCTACTGCTTCTTGTCTTTATCTCAGGGAGTTACCATAATCAATTATCTGCACATGACATCCTGCTTATTTATGATTGAAAAATACGTTTTTAGTCTTATATTTCATCCCCAATTTACGAGAAACTGTCTCTGCGTTTATGCATTTATCATCCAGATGCATCCATGCTGGATAGTCTGTGGTTGACTTCATGAATTTGAAAGTTTTTTGGATAAAAAGCATCAAACAAAGAGTTGATGAACATTTTTCACTGATTTCAAGGAAAATATAAGCTATTTTTATAATGTTATAACAGATGAGCAGTTTTTACAGGAGCAGGCTAAATCCTGGTGGTTAATGGTGGGGCGGGAAAAAAGCAAGTCATCATCAGGAGAGAATGAGAGCTGAACATGGCTGCACCTAGGGCTGCCTGCACCCACGTGTGCACAGGCGGTGCAGATCCACACACCCATCAGTGCAATTACACACAACTGATTCCCCATCTGATCCATCGTCAGAGACCCCTCTTTAATTAAGATTGTAGATTAAGTCAAATGTAATGAGATCACACCTTGTCACAGCTGAATGGAGTTGATTGGGATTTTTTTTGCTTCCCTAGATTTTGTTCTTATCTGTTGATGGATTGGCCAGTTGTGCACTGGTGGAATCAATGGGGTGTCTTCATTAAGCAAAAGACCCCAGCATCTAACCACAGTGCAGTCATTGTATCACACCGCCTCATTTTCTCATCTGCCATGGCTGCACCTCATAATGTAATACAGCAGCACACCGTTTATATCCTCTTAGTGCTTTGCTGGCTTAATTCTGAAGCTGTAATTTTAATAATGGCATGGGGCTGGACTTTTCTAATGGATCTTATGACAGGGTCGTGCTGCAGGTTTTCTGGTTTTTGCACTGCCACTTTCCTATTTATTAAGTGGATTACCCAGTGTAAATAGTGTCTCTGTGTCCTCGAGACACCCACATGCTCTGTTGATGGAGCAACACAGTCACATTGTCCACCTTCTGTGCAGATTCTGCAGGACAATTGGTGTTTGTGGTATAACAGAGTACTTTCTAGAATTGTTGGTTCAGATCATTCATGTACCGTAGATGGTGTGCTTGAAACATATTATCATTTGTGCAGTTTTAGGCATAATGTCATTACAAAATCAATGCTAGAGCCCTTATAATGTGCCCATATTGCTCATTCATAACTGTGGACAACATACTTGAGCTTCATGACGAGGCAAGATAAATTATTTGTGAAGGATACGCACCTTGCAATGGACTAGATCCCCTTTATTCAGTAAGTGAAGTGCTGTGTAGTGATGTTAAGAGTAGTGTTCCTTTTATTTTTGACAAACCCCTCAATGTTGATGTGGCCGTTTCTGACATTAAATGACTTCCAGTAATAGTAGTTAACAATTCCCTACCACACCCTATATTGACAACTGCATATTCCACTTTTAGCTTTCTTGGAACCACTTGGTCAATACCTACGTTTTCCCAAGGACAGTATTCATTTCGGATCCACATCTTTCTAAATGTAGCTCCGAAATCCATCAATATTTAATTGTCAGCATCAGAGGCTTTGCTGACCAAGCAAATGGGATGCAAAGAGCTCCAGAAGACCTACTATCTCTGTGGGAAAAAGCTCTCTCACACACACAAAGGCACACACACAAACACATACACACTGAGGACTGTGTGAGCATTTCAATGGTCCAAAGAAATAGAGGGATACAAGTTGTTCCTCTGTGTGCCCTGCGTTAGAGGGGGTGTTACAGCCGTAATGCTAGTGCCGGGGGTGTGACATGAATAAGTGTAGGGTAGGGAATGTTTTGCTTATGAGTAGTGGGACATTTACAGACACTGTTGCTGGTGGACCGACGTCTGGGGACACACAGAAGTGCCTCCATGATGTTTTACTGGTTTAAATAATGCTACCAATCTTTGCAAGGCTGACTCATACCTCCATTTTGATTTGATATCCACTGTAAATGCGTAGTTACAGGGGGTAATGAAATACTCACTACATGGCTTGCATGGCCTTTGTGCCGCGGACGATGACATAATTAAGTTGTCATGATGGATGGCTGCCATTTGTGCAAGTACTGTGTCTGCACTGTCTGAACTCTCTCTGCTTGAGACACTGCTGCCGTTGCTGCGACCCTCCCCCCCCCCCCCCCCCCTCCCCCTCAGTCTGGCAGTGTGTTCCCATGTTAGCCAGACAGACACATGGATAGATGGTAAACAATCAATGTTACCTCAGCTCAGCCAGTGACTGTCAAGTTGAAGAAAAGCCCCCTCAGTGCTGTCGATTACTACTTGACAGTGGCATTGTTTCTTCGAACGCAGTGCCGCATCACTTGAACAAAGACATTTAGTTTTCAGCCCTGTGACAAGAGATGTTGCAAGATTACGCAGGCAGTGGGCTAAACTATTGTAAGGAAGTGTGCTGCGTTTCTGATATCAGCCATGCTATGTGGATCTATGGATGGCATTTGTTGTCTGTTGGTCAGTCTACTACTGAAATGTCTCAGACTGAAATACCACAGGCATTAAGTGGATTGCTTTGAGATTTGTTATAGAAATACATAGACTCAAAGGATAAAGATGTTGGTAAGTCGTTTCCTCAGCACCACCAAGAGGTAGACATTGTTGCAGAGAGGTTTATGAAATGTCCTAGCTGTATTAACATGGGTTGCTTTTACCTTTTGTGCATACATCCATGTTCAACTTTGTGGATCCATTTATTTTTCATCTATTTCGATTACCTAATGACGTTACCATTAGCTTTGCTTTGCTGCCAGTTATCATACATTATTATGCTCTCATGCAAATCTAAGAAGTGAAATACCATGTTAGCATGCTGATGTTAGCTTAAAGTATCACTATGTCTAAGCAGCACGGTCTCACAGAGCTGCATGGCTGTAGACCCGAGTATTGTACAGAATGGTTCACTTCTGCAGCGCTTGACCAATATGGTGCATCATGACACAACAGCAGGCCGGACTAATGACGTACTGCATCGTATGAGTAAGCTGGCATTTTAGCTTGGCGAGTGTTCAGTATGAGCAGTTGTGTACCATGACTGTGTTGGCAAGAGTTACAGGTACATAATTTATGCAGCCACTCTTTAGCAGCGTAACGTATTTTCTTGCAATTGACTTTGCTGCATTTCAGACTTCTGAACATTCTTAAGAGGGACTGCAGAGAAGTCTGAGCATCAAAATCTGCAGTCGAAGGATTAAACATGCAAATGAGAAGTGATGATTCTGGTCATGGACGAGTTTCGAAAAACAGTTCGGTACTTCCTGAAGGTCATCTATGTTAATTTGTATGAATATTGATGGGTTGATTGTCTAACTAAAAGTTAATTTGATCTGTAAAGGTTGTGTTATTAAAGTGTCTTAACTAGGTTTTATTGGTGTGTGCAAGGTTTAAGTCTGATAAAGAGCATTGTGTCATCTGCCACCGTCATCTGCCAACAATACTCTGCAGATTCATTTTTCAACATTAACCTTGACTGAAATGAAGAAGTGTCGACCTTCAGACGGCGCAGTGAGAGTACATGATGCAGGCGGCCTGAAGTTAAATCAATTCCCTCTCCTCTCACCGGTAAAGAGAGTAATCAAGTCGGGTTTGACTGGAAAAAACCCTACCACAAAGAGCCATTAGGATCGCCCTACGTATGCATGTCAACAGGATTTGTATCGATTCTCTTGCATCTATTGCTATTCCACACTGGCATTTCACTGCATGCAGAACAACAGGCCAATACCCTATAAGGTTCATTTGATAGATCTTAGCAGAGCGTCTTTCCATCCATTCTTTATGATGAGATAGTTTTGCTATAGGGCAGATATTTCTATGTCCTTCGTATTGATGCTCAAGCATGCATGACGCTGCTCTGTCATCATCTTGAACCCCCTGTCCATGTCCTGTGCATGAGTAATCTGCACTCCTAAGTAAGGCCTCACAAAACTCACACTCATTTTGCTCTATGATGATGAGGCAAAATCCCCCACCGCCTCTGTCTCATGCACAGCATTTTAATACTGTGCTGTAAATAATACGACACATTCATTACGGTGGTGTAATGGCTTTCGAGATAGAGTCATGACTCAGCTAAATTAATATTAGCTAAAGTTGCACCCCTAGTTCAAGTAGAAAGAGCTGAGGTGCATAATGAGGGTTTAGACCTCCTGTGTGAGATTGTAAAAGGTTTGCCTGGCTCCCTTACCGCCTGACCTTCATCTTGCTTTGCTCTTACTCCTCCATCTTTCATCCTGAGCTCTCAGAGTCCCTGAGAAGTCGGAGCGCATGCAAAGGCCCTTTATTTACCTGCAGGCAACGCTACCAGTAACACATTACATTCATGACTCTATTCGGATTCACCAAAAGAGCCATCCGGCTCTAATCTGTTAGTTTGTATTCTCTGTTCATGCCACTTGTGTTTTATATTGGATTGTTAACAGTTAATAGTTGCATGTTTCTGTCTACCTTGTGCATTTTCTTAGATTCGTGCTCAGTGAACTTGTTTTCCCCGATAACATCACTTTTAGCTTGACCGCGTAGCCGTAAGAGTATTATGTAAGCAACATATCTGACTGCATTTGTAATGCTCCACTGTGCCTGGGTGATGCCTCCATTTGCAGGTTGATTAGGAGAGTGAACAGGTGCTAAATCAGCCCAGTGCAGTCACAGGGAGCTGGGAGGGCAAAGACCTGCATGGGGTCTCCTTTCAGAGTTTTCATGGGAAACATCAGTGTTGACATTAACATTTAACAACAAGGAAGTTACTATGCTTCATTTGCAACACAGCAACAGAGATAGCAGGTTTTTCCTCTATGGTGTTTATGTTTTTAAACCTAGGATGTTTTATATATGACTAATGATGGGTGCTTGGGATGAATAGACACAAAAAAGCTATCTTATTCTGCAGCATAAAAACATTAATTGGACATCTTGTGATAAAACGTCCCATAAGAATTGCGATAATGTCCACATTTGTAATACACTTTTACTTGTCTATTACTCTTTTTTTTCTTTTTTAATAATAATAATAAATGATATTTATATAGCGCCTTTCAAGGGACCCAAGTACATGGTGGACAAACAAAACAAACAGACAATCAAAGGGCAAACAAAAAATAAAGGAAGCCGGGGGACCAAGAAAGGGCATTTTTAAATAAAAACTTCACTTCAAGAAATCCAAGGCTATAGTTTACTTCTCAAGAGTATATTTCCTCTTCTCTTCAAGCAGGTGTCGGAGAATGACAGCAAGCCGAGTCTGTTTCTTGTTTTTGTGATAGGTCAGCAACAGAAAGTCTCAGGTGGGCTGTTACAGTGCTGACATCACTATCTGCTCCGTGCTGAATTGCTGAAGCATTTTCTGAGCGAGGTCTGCTCCGTCGGGGCTGCATTGAACCTTTCAGTCTGAGCCACACTTATCAGCTCAGTGGGCTTTAAGTATAATGAGATGGGCCTTAAATGCGGACCAGCAGGATGAGATCTGTTCGAAACGCAAAGCATAGAGGTGTAGGAGGGCCTGCATTAAGTCAGTAAGACAATCATGGTGCAGTTCGGCTTAGGATGTAATTGCTGGCCTTTTAAGTATTCCACATATTTAGGAAAACCATAAATGCCACTAAAATGTCATTTACACTATATGCACGAAGTCCAGATAATACATTCCGAGATAGGGTAAGATAGGGTGTAAAGATATAAAAAAAAAAACAATCCCAAATATTTGTCATCACTGAAAAGTCATCTTTACAATCTAGATGTAAAAGTGCACAATAAATATACATGGTATGATTTAAGCACTTAACAATAGGAGGTCTTTCTTTCTAGGTTAAAGATGATTCTTTTTGGTAATCAGCTAGTATGATAGGACCTAGGGATTAAAGTAAGCCGGGGGTCCGGTCTGGTGGCGAAGAGCATGCATTGGTCTTTTATGGATGTTATTTTAAGAGAGTCATATAAGTGATGTCTTGTAAGAAAGCTAGGATAAAAAAGCAAGTTACACATTGGGCGTAGGAATGACCTTCTCGTTTCCTAAAATGAATCAACCTACAAACGGTTCACTGGGAGTGTTGTGTGGAGGCGAGACAGGAGAGTCCTCACAGTCCAATTATGGGATAACTCTTTTATACCGCCCTCTCGCAGCTGATGAGCGGAGATGGATGTTCCATGCTCCGCTGCTTCTGCCATTGTTTCTCTCTGAAGAGTCCAGCCGTTTGTATGTGTTACTCCCAAATTCTTGTATTTACTCACTCTCGTGTTTAGACCCCACTTGCCCTGCCAAGTGGGCGTACCAGCGTGTGACGCAAAGTCTGTATTCATCCTAATTCTACAAAGCTCTCATTCAACCCTCGTTTTGGCATTTCCATTGGCCTCAGTGTGCACTTTGGGTTTTAAGCCTCTTCTACGAGTTAAGATACTTGTACAGGAATGAGATTAATGAAACTCAATTGAATTTAAGATGTATCAACATTATTTATGGAAAACAATGGCCTTTCTATTTAGGCCAACTAGGCCAGATAAAAAAGAAATAATTCTTCTTAAATGAAGGGCTGAAGTTCTAAGACATTCATCAGCATTATATTGTTATTCCAGATTCACCTGCATTGTGCTAGAGGAGGACTTGTACTGCTGATTATAAATGGATCCATCTCTTCGGAGAGTAAGGAGATTCAATAAGCAGCGTTTGAAATATTTAATGCTACGTATGTTCTGTGGAGCAGGTGTGTGTGTGTGTGTGTGTGTGTGTGTGTGTGTGTGTTCAGGGGCTGATGTGTTTCCATGGCAACATATAAGGTAGTAAGCGATGCAGGCAGTGCTGAGGAAGGCTGTAGTATGTGGGGTTTATGGACCATAAGACAGAGAAGAGAAACAAACCATATTTATACGGTCTGAATAAAAGCTGTGCAGAGATGCAGCATTTCCAGCTGTATAATGATTTAATGCGTTTCTCAGATAATAAAAAATCTGATTTATGATCACTCGTAGATATCTCATACAACTGAAGTTATTACAATCCCGGATTCAAAACGGATTTGAAAAATAACAGACCAGAAAATGACGTTTGAGTTTTTTTTTACAATAATCCTACAGTAAATATGAAACATATAATTTGTAGTAATAGTGACGCTGGTTTTGGTGGCTCCCTGCTAGACTTTGGATAGATTGTGTGACTGCGATAGCAACCGTTTAAGATGCAGATATTAAACTCCACACGTGTAGTTGTCAAGTGTTATTATGGGCGTGGTCCCAAAATAAGGTATTTTTGTGTCTGTGGACAGATTTTATTACCAGCCATGCAAGATGCAGTCATGAAGCCGGATACCCACTTAACCTTTTTGTCTAATTTGTTGTCGTGGTTTGTGTCATCCCATCGCAAAGTGCTTTAGTAGTTTGGCATATATTGTTATACTTTTTGACATTGATCATACCAAACATACTCAATGTTTTTTCGATTACACAGGAAGTAAATCCCAGGATGGCAGCATGGAGGCGCTCCCTGTTCCTCAGAACATCAAGATCAGCAACATCACCTGCGACTCCTTCAAGATCTGCTGGGACATGGAGCCGAGCAGCAAGGAGCGCATCACACACTACTTCATCGACCTGAACAAGAAGGAGAACAAAAACTCTAACAAGTTCAAACACAAGGTAACGCTTGAATCAGCACTAATAAACTGAATTTAGAAGATAACGGTACGAGAGAAGGCTCAACAAAAGGCCTGTTGTCTCAATTAATGCATTTGCTATGTTTCATCAAAAGGAAAAAAATATTTCAAGGTTTTGTGTTTATGTGATTCAATGTGTGAGAAACTCACACTCAGCCTTGAGAGCACAAACTAGGCAATGTGCCAAAAGAATTCAAGAAAATGATAGTATTTGGGAAAGCATTTTTTTCACTCCTTCCTTGGAAATTAAAATCTCTTTTTCAGCAGGTACCTGGCCTCTTAAGCAAAACCTATTTCTAGAACATTGAATACAAAACATAATCAAGCACACCTGCTGCAAAGTAAAGACCAACTAAAAACCAAACGCAAAATCTTTCTTAAAACTGTCAGCGGTGTAAAATTGTAAGTATGAACCCAAATGATTCTCATGTGATCATTTTACAAAGATATGAACAGAACAACAGACCATACAGTACAGTTTTAAAGAAAATAGACTCCACTGTGTTCTCCAATTAGTTGTCCATAAGTAATGTACATTTATAAATAATGCAATTCTAAAGATAATTCTGTTTTAGCATTCAATCTGATATTCTCCATGTCTCCACTTTGTTGGCACCGTACATCGCTGTGTCTGGGCGGACTTACAGTGAATGATATTTGTCCCCTCCATACTTTAACTCTCCAGCATTATCATAACGTGATTGCTAAAACATCTGGAAGAATGATAAACCCTGATGATCGAAACCTAACCGATGGATTTGATGCTGAAGCGTGAGACACATGTTCACCATGTTTTAACCAAAGATAACCTTTAGTTTCCTGCTTGAGGCAAAAAGACTCCTTTGAAGGTGGATCTGTTCAAAGACTCTGAGCTCTAATAGGCTAATATCACTCACTCTGCCCTTTCGGTCGGAGAGTAATTCCTCCAGCAGGATGACAGCAGCTCCTTCAGTTCACCGTCAGTCAACACTTGTTTCCTCCTTCCTCTCCTCCTGCAGCCACTTCCTGTGTGTCTCCTCTCCCTAGTAGCGAGCGACCCCATGTTAGTATTTTGATTTTGGTGACCAGCAGCAGTGTTGGTCGATATGCTGAATCTGTTGCTAGGCAGGGGCTACCGGTCCAATCAATAGGCTGCTAAGGCCCATGGATGCTTAAGGGGGGTGAGGAGAGTACAGAACAGTGTGCATACATAAAGAAAACAGTACAGGTATAAACTGCAGTCTGCCTCTTACATAACATGTTCAAAGGCATGTCATGTGCGTGCTCATGGCTTTAAAGGTGTCCTATTATGCAAAATGCACTTTTTCATGTATTTTATACATAAACATGTGTCCCCTCTGTGTTAAGAGGTTGTGAAAGTTTCAGGAAAAAAGATTCTCTTTTTGTCCAGATCCATTTATATAAAAACCTGTCTGAAAATGTGCTGATCAGATTTTGGCCACTTTGTGATGTCATAAGGATTTTTTGGCTTGTGTAACCATTAGCCAATCACCAAACAAGGTAACCCCCCCCCCCCCCCCCTTGATGAAAAACAGTATAATAGGAGACCTTTAAGGAAACCATAACTGGAGTTTCCTCCTGTTTTCCATTCCTCCCTCCAGGATGTTCCCACCAAGCTGGTAGCCAAAGCCGTCCCCCTGCCCATGACGGTGCGGGGCCACTGGTTCCTGAGCCCCCGCACAGAATACACCGTGGCCGTCCAGACCGCGTCCAAACAGACCGACGGGGACTACGCCATCTCCGAGTGGAGCGAGATCGTGGAGTTCTGCACCGGCGGTGAGTAACGCACAGCTTACTGTACCACGAGTACTCGCTTCTCAAGATGTGTGACATCTGAGCAGCCTTTGATGTTGTTTGAGCTGAAGTACAGAGCAGAATAGGATAGGGCACAATATGAGGGAGAATATTAAATGGAGGCTAATCTTTACTGAGTGGGGGGGAGTATGGATGTAGGGGGTGGAGGAGGGGAAGGGGAGGGCGAGTGGAAAAGAAGGATTAAAGGAAGGAGGGGAGCTGTGCTGTATATCTTCTGATGCAGAGGTCAACAAGTTCAACATCGCTGGCTGCCGGCTTTGGGTGGGGGAGGGGAGAAGGGGGAGGAGATGATGGTATGGGGGTGGGTAGCTGCGAAAGGGATGAGGAGCATTCAGGGCCGTCCCTCCCTACAGGCTGATCATGCAGACTGCGTGGGGCCTCACCTTGGAGGGGGCCTCATCTTGCGGAGGGTGCCTCAACTGAGCCGAAAATGCGGCGCACCTATGCGCTTATGCAGCGCAATTAGTGTGGTGCGGCACGGTTGCTCCACTAGCTTCCCCCCTGTCCCCCCGTCGACGCTCGCGAAACAGAGGGCCTCATCATATAGCTTTGCGTGGGGCCTCATGTTGGCCAAGGACGGCCCTGGGAGCATTAGAAGCTTGGGTAGTAGTGATAGTGATGCGAGGCTTGACTAAAGAAAAAGGGAGGTCTAAAAATATGTCTGAAGACTTTTGAGAAATCCTCTTAATAGCCGTCTATCATTTTTGTTCAAGGTTCTGTAGCATTTCATGAAAGTGGGGAATTTTATAGTTTTCTATTGGTGTGCTTGTTGGAAAATCAGAACATTACAATGAAACTTTATTATATACTTTGGAATAAATCCACACCCATTTGGCAATCCTTCTTTCATGCTGGAGCGTATAAGGACGCCACAGGACTAAAATGCTGAGTCATTCTAAGCTATAAAGATGAAGAAGCGCAGTTCATGTTCCATCCTATCCAGTGCACACAGTCACTCTTGTTCCTTATAATTAAATAATTACATTTCTACTAATTTCCAACACTGGTTTCCGATCCTCCTGATGACAGCTTATTCAGTTTAACTCTGATCTGTGATGCGTCTGTTTTCCAGATTATTCCACAGTGCACCTAAACCAGCTGCTGGTGAAAGCAGAGGTCATCGCCGGCCGGATGCTGCCTCTGTCTGTCTTCTACAGGAACCAGAATAAAGAGTACTTCGACCATGCCAGGTAAGCCGCTGTACTTGCATTTTCATAAATAATTTTGTAGTTCAAATATAGTTGAGTCAGAGTCTGTTATTAAAGAAACCCCGAAAACTGTGTTAACACATTGTATGTGCGGCTAGCTTTCCTTCCTCTTTTAGTTTGTTGCATTATGGTAATTTACACTATTATACAACACTTAGCATTTCAACGTATTCTTGCTATTTGTATGCTATTTCTGACGATAGATACTGTATATCCTATTTTGATATGCTTCCAGTAACTTGAACATCACATTAAATTCACAGCTTTAGCATCTGGTGGCTTTATAGACCTATAGAGACTTGAGATGTTATGTGATGCTAAAATGACCTTTAAGCTAAGGCTGCAGGACATTTAGTGTTAACATACTGCTGTGATAAGACTTGTGTGATGGTAATAAAAGACGATTGATAATGAGAACATTGCAATGTAATGCATCCATCCTAGCACTCAATATTACAACGTATATCACTGCAGCACCTGTATCTCTGCACACAGCAGGATCCCCACACTATAGGCTAATGTGTACAGACAATGTGACAATTAAGGCCATTGAAAAGTATAGGTTTGTCACAGTGTAACTTTCTTTGTATATAATATGTGATACAAACTATACATTTGATGACTTTCTTTGTAACGTTGTATTATCATTTTTTTTAAGGCATACTATACTATTAGTTTTGTATCATAATATATTCCAATGTTATGACATAGTATACTATTACTTTGAATGACATTTTTTTAAATAATATATGTCGATACTTGTTTTATGTCATGCTATATACACAATGACATACTATCCTATGATATTCTTTGTGACATGCTGCACAAAGACTTTTGTATGACGTATTTACTGGGGCTTTACAACATGACGTCATCTGGGAAGCCCCCTCTCTTTTGTTGCCTCGGATCAGTGCATTTAACATGTGTCTGGTAAACTGCACCACCATGTGGGCGGCAGCAGTACTGTCTACCCCTCGATGAGGCTTCTGCTCCAGTGACCCGGGGTGGGAGATGACTAATTCCATAATACCCTCAACAAAGCATTAATTATGGATGTAATTGCAGCGTCTGAAGTGATAGCACTGTAATTACAATTCATAATAGGCGCACAGATTTACTCTGTGCTCGAAGACATGCAGCTACAACACAAGCCCTCATCAATCTTGAATGTTTATTTGTCGTTTTGTTTCTGAAAGATGCTTTTGTTTCCTGGCAGTTTTTGAGTTGAGCATGCTTTTCAAATTCATAGGTTTTATTGTCATATAAGCTACAGTGTAGAAATGGCAAATTAAATTCTTATGATCCGAGCTCCTCCAACAATGCAACATATGAAATCAAATTTAATAAAACACACCGAAGTGTAAGCAAACACTGAAATATAACGAAGAAAATGTAAAGTTGGAGAGGAGCTAGAGACACGGCAGCCATCCCCGGCGCCATCTTTCTTTTGGTCACTTCTATCAGACAAACTGGGCTAAGATCATTACAGATCCAGAGATATTGAAACTACAGATCCTCCGGCTGCATCTGACACATTTAATCAGTTCGGATCAAAACAATGTGCTGCTCTTTACCATTCACATGTTTTTGTTCACAACCAATTTCCTTTTTCCCTACCCTCCAGGGAGGATCAGGGGAACATGATGCTGCAGGCGGTGAAAGACAACAGCGGCAGCCACGGCTCCCCCATCAGCGGCAAACTGGAGGGGGTTTTCTTCAGCTGCAACACAGAGTTCAACACGGGCAAGCCCCCGCAGGACTCCCCCTACGGCCGCCAGCGCTTCGAGGTGAAGGCCGACTCGCTCTTCAACCTCGACACCAACCTGTACTTTGGAGACTTCTACTGCATGTACACGGCGTACCACTTCGTCATCCTGGTCCTGGCGCCAAAGGGCTCCGCGGGGGACGACTTCTGTAAGGGGAGGCTTCCTGCGCTGGACCTCTCCAATAACAGTTTCCTCACCTGCAAGCAGGAGGAAGACGGGAGTCTGGTGTTCCATCACGCCCAGGACGTGATCCTGGAGGTGATCTACACGGAGCCCGTCGACCTGGCGATAGGCTCGGTGGGGGAGATCAACGGGCACCAGCTGATGAGCATGTCCACGGTAAACGCCAAGAAGGACCCCAGCTGCAAGACCTGCAACATCAGTGTGGGACGCTAAGGATGTAGAGGAGGAAGGACTGACCTCTAAACACACAGGAAGACCACATGTACTGACCAAGCAGACCAACACATGCATGAAGCAGCAGATTTAGTAGGCTCCCAGACATGCAGCATATCTGACACCGCTCTGTACTCTGAAAGAGTGGACGATACAAAAAAAGAGGAAGGTACACACTCTGACACCTACACTGCTGTCTCCTCATCTGAAAAGGGTTACCCTAAATGTTGAAAACATAAGCTAAGATATCACGCATTACTGAGTCATAGAAACCTGGGACACCAACACAGCTCATCCATCCTGCAAGTCAACACTGAAACCCTTTAACTGTAGGCTACTAACGGTCTGCTCCTATTCAATTTGCTGTTGTTACTTTATACACTTGTTTTGTTAATGCCTTGTTGTATTGTTATCCTGAGGGTCGCGTCCACTGTCTGTGTGGACGAGCATTTAGTCGTTTCCTTTGACTGTTTATTGATTCAGAACTGTTTTCTTCTCATTCTTCAGTAGAGCATTTCAGACTATTCCTTTGTACCTTCTACTAGTGGCAAAGACTGGAACGACAATTTTCTAGGGCTGCAGCATCGATAGTCATCTTTCTTTATACCAAAGGTATTCAAACCCAGACGTGAAACTGCTGTGGAATCTTAACAGAACTAATGCAACAGCCTCTAAAATGAAAAAAAAGCATGATGCAGCTCTCTGCAGCATGAAAGCTGTCAGCACCTCTACCATAGCAACCAGCTCTGCTACAGCCGCTTTGATTTAAATGTAGTCTGTGAAAAGAAAGAAAGTAGAACCATAAACTGTGTTGAGCAGAATAAATGTGAAAAAATATTTATTTTTATTGATACATTCATATATAGAAAATTATATAAACCAGAAGTGCACAATGCCGAAAGCTCTGATCATTGTCAACAACTGCATTTAGAGGGAAATAACTTCATACAAGCAAAGTGGGGGGGTACACACCAATCTGATAGCAGAGAGAAGTTGCACTACAATGCCAAGCTTCACCAACGTTCACATGTTTTCCAAGGTTAACATGTCAATTCAATTCAGTCACAATTATAAAAATATGAATGCATATCATAGCACAATGTAGGATTGAAGAGCAGACATGTACAAACACGACAGGATTGTCTCATTGATTGCATTTAAGCTTACACACTGTTTGCCAAGAAAGCACTTGTTTTTAAGAAAATGCCGTTTCCGCTTTGGGCAAAGCTGTCCTGAAAGAGTGTTTTTGCAAGGAAGAAAGCAAGTTACAAAGTGGCATAATGTGCGTGAATAAAATAACTTGCATGTAACAAACACCAAGTTGTTACAGCAGTCACCCCTGACATAAATTAGTGCTACATTAAATACACTTCTCATCAGGTTTATATTAAGATGCGTCATAATGACAAAGGATCTTTTGGGACAAACCCGCAGTCATGCTGCTTTTCATTAAGATGGTCACCAATTTCCTCAGTTTTCCTCATGTAAAGTGCGTCAACAGAAAACGACATAAAACAAGACCAGAACCACAAGATTCAGAACCTGATTTTCATAAAGGATTGAGTCCGATAAAGTCCCACTGTGAGTCACTCAGCTGCTCTTGGTTGAGTCCCGTTTACTGAGCAGGGCCTCCAGGAGGCGGAGCTTAGCTTTGAGGCTCTTATACTGGCAGTACTCCTCCGCCATTGGCCCCCGGTCCTCCTTCTGACAGAACCTGTTAGCGAAACACAAAGAAAAAAAGAGGCAAAACTTCAGTAGTTTCCAACAAACTGCAGCAGCTTCCATAACTGGTTGATAGTCCCTATGTTGCCTTACTCAGATAGCTTTGTACAGTGTGTATTGTAATCTTACTGTATTTACTTTGGAGGACTAACATGTACAGTACAAAGGACGTGAACAGAGCAAACGTCTATCTCTTCGTCTCTTTCCCGAGCTCTCTGTGCGGTATTAACGTGCGTGCATTTCACTGTCGTACCATAAGATGGGATTTCTTTTGTGGATGTTTTTTCTTTGTTTTTCACAAGGCATTGTTGAAAACCAAATGTTTCAAGTTTATTAAAAGATAAAACAAAATTCAAAAGCCAAGTAGTTTTTTTGTGTGTGTGTGTGTGTGTGTGTGTGTGTGTGTGTGTGTGTGTGTGTGTGTGTGTGTGTGTGTGTGTGTGTGTGTGTGTGTGTGTGTGTGTGTGTGTGTGTGTGTGAGACCTTTACCTGCCAGTCTGTGTGTGGAAGTTCTCCTCAAACTCTCGGAGCGCTCGGTGAAGTCGGTGCCTCTCTGACCGCGCCGTCCTGAGGTGATCCAGTAATTCTGGTCTGTAAAAGAGCAGAAAATAATGTCTTAGTTCTTTTAGATTGTCTAGACATGTGTGCATTTAAAGTTAAGATGATAACTCATAGTTTCAAGCAAGAAACAAGCTCTTCTTTGAAAACAAACTTCCTGTTAAAAATTCCTGCAATAAGGCATGGGACGACATCACAATCTGAGATGATTATCCTGGTCACGATACATAGGATATAGATCAATCAATATTTATTTAAATGGTTATAAACACACACACGTACGTACCTGGAAGCTTCATGTAGTGTTGCCATGGTGACGATCTGTGGCTGGAAACACTTCACCTCCTCCAGCGGGGACACGAGAGGCGTTTCAGACGTTTCTAAAGAAGGAAGGTGCAGCGAGTCGTCTGAAGACACACAGCGAGGGGGCTTCAGTCGGAGGGGCTGCAGCCTTGGGCTACGCTGTTTGGGATGATCTTCATCAGAGCCCTCCTCTTCCTCCTACGTGAACAAAGAGGAATCACTATTCTGTCGTTGTGAACACAGAAACGCAGGGAAAACACATCAATGTTGAAACTGACTCTGTTCAGCTAGTCCTGAAATAGCTTTTTAATATTTAATTGAATACTACTTCGTCATAAACTGCAAGATTTTAGCTTTATTCATCTTGCCTTTAGCTAAAACTGAGGTCTAACAGTTTGGTGCAGTTCTCACATCTGTCCACTAGAGAGCAGCAGAGAAACACTTCTGTGTGCCAGGGTCAGATTTATTTATATATATATATATTAACATTTATTTAGCTGATGCTTTTATCCGAAGGGACTAAAATACACTTCAATACAGTAGACATAAGTGACATAAAGTGGGCTTGGGTTATTTCCGTTGCGTATCAGACTCCATCATTCCTTTCTTTTTTGTATGCAGTATTAGTTATACTCACAATGGTTGGTATGACTGTGGCAGCAGCAGCAGCAGCAGCAGCAGAGAGCAGCAGCTGCTTCAGGAGACGGTACCGGTCGTAAAAAGGTTTCATCAGAGTCCGCTCCTGCCTGGTACTCTGGAGGAGAATGATACAGAAACCGATTATTCAATGAGAAGTGAGATACAGTACCAAAGTGGAGCCAGCTAATTAAAAGACATGAAGGAAAGTCTCACCGGCCGTCCGTGCAGACCCTCAAAATGCAGCAAACACTTCTGCAGGCTGGTCTTCTCCAGAGTCATCTGGAAATGGGACATCTCCTGCACAAACAGCCACAGATAAATACATGTATGCATGGTCAGAAACACTGACAATGAGATCACCAAACATATATTATAATTGATGTGTTTGAAAGTGTTTCTGCTAACCTTGACGCTGTCGGGCAGGCCCAGCTCTCTGCGTCTCTCCTTCAGTCTGTTGGATATAGTATTGACCGTTTCCTCCACGTTAGCTTTGATGTTGCTGTTGTTGTTTAGCTGCTGCAGCTCAGTGCCTGTTGGTGCTGCCTCCTTCTGGTCTGAGTTGGTTCTGCGTGTTTCAGATGACTGGTTAAAGTCTCCCTGACCTTTCATCCCCCCTTCTGATTGTCTCAGCTTCAGCTCTGGAAGAGGACGAGAGTTCAGAACATTTTGAAATTAAAAACAGAAACAATTTGAGACGTTGGTTGTCTGGTAAACATATTTGAAATGGTGAAATTATTCTGTGATGGATAGCAATCTAATGCATTTATTCAAGTACAGTCATAATTAAAATGTTGTAAACTTCTTTGTACTCAACCAGACATATTTGACTTTTTAAAATAAGCTTACAAAATTACAATGCGAAACATGTGCATGCAAACTTTTTTTATTTTGTGACCCAATACAAAAAACAAGTGTTGAGATATTTGAATGTAATGGAATATTTATTATGTTGTTGCACTGGCTCTGAATCAATGTCCTTCATCATTAATTCATGTGTGTGAGTGTGTGTTTATGGTTATGAAAACTGACCTTTAAGCTGCTTGCGACTCTTGATGAGCTCCTTCATCAGTCGGGCCACCTCCGGATGAGCAGTCTTGTCGTTGTGGGCAGGCTAAAAGAAAAAGAAGAAATACATACAAACTCAGAGACAGAACAGGGTCTCCTGCATCACCTACCAAGAACTCTTTACTCTACTTTATCCCCTGGTCTGGGCCAATTATAATTGTGCACCAACATGCAGCAGCAACCAGTTAATAAAGACTGAGTAAAATATTTACATTTTTTACAATTTTCCAATGTACCAGCAGAGGGAAATATTCTCCCTTTAATAATGTTTGTTATAAGAAGCCACAGTATCATTTGAGAACGTAAAATAACTAATTTACACACGGTAACACACACACACACACACACACAAATATAATAATAATAATAACAATAATCCTCCCCATGGCTCTGTGTGAGAGCTCATTATTGGCTTAGGAAAAAAACACTGAGCCTCACACTCTGAGGAAATAAACTCCAATCAGATGATGACAGAAGAATCTCGCTGACGAAGCATTTCCTGTTCCTCACCTTATAGTGCTTCTCCTGTTCAAAGCACTCCTCAAAGTGCCTGATCCTCTTCTTCAGAGTGTGAATGTGTCTGTTGAGCGCTGAGACGGAGACAGAGCCCTCGTGTGGCTCCGAGTGGACACTGCTGCGAGTCCTGAAGACAGCAAGAAGCATTCAGTTCCATGGTAAAATAACTCATAACCTGCATGTTAACCTTTCATCTCAAATGAAAGGCATTGAAGAAGCACAGCAAATAAATGCAATGTCCCACCCTCCTGTCTGTGTGCCATTATTCCTAAATAACGTTTTTGAGGAAACAGTTGACTCACATGCGTATGTGCTGCGAGCAGGGTGGGGAAGGGGCCGTATCGGGGTCCAGGTTGTAGCGCAGGCTGTGGCTGAGGTTGGGGCAGCGTGGGGAGGGGACGGGGCAGTCGCTCAGCGCAAAGCGGGAGAGCAGCGGGCTGGTTTTAGGGCCCGGGAGGATGGGCAGGGGGTCGTTTCCTGAAGACCCCTCAGAGAGCAGGCTGGTGTACAGGACAGGACTGAACTCTGAGGAACCAGGGGAGGGGGAGTGCCCTGTAGGAAAGAAGAACATATAAATGTACTGTTAATCTATAACAACTTTGACTATTTCTCATTTGAGTTTAAAAATGTAATTTATAATAACTTAATATAGGAGAACCGACGGGACAAAAGAGATAAATGTAAGAGAGGGAGAGACATGGTCGATGGAGGAGATAGGAAGCAAACAAAAAGGCGTAAGGTATGGAGAGTAAAAGACAAACATAAAGAATGAGAAGAAAGTATTTTGAACACCGTTTTTTCAACATCTTTGCTGGGGAATACACTTTTTTTGTTTTTCTGACAATAACAGTGAACACACATATCTGTTATAATCTGTATGGTAATAAAAACTACACTCAATTGTATGTTTAGCCAGCACAGAGACATGGAAATAAATAAATAAATGTACAAATTCGTCATGTCACAGGCGGCTGTGCGTTGATGCAACAGTAACAGCATCATACCTTGATATACTCGACTCATCAAATAAAGACACACCCAGCTCTGAGATAGGATGAAGCTCAAAGCTCGCTGTCAAGCTTTATTCACTGTGAGCCAAAGGAGTAACATCATCTAGGACAAGGCTTTAAATGAACAGATGATGAATCAGGCACTATAAATAATAGCACTAATACATTATGTACATACTGTATGTTGTACTATATAAAGTGTGGCTCTTGCGTTGAGAGGGATATGGGTTTGATTCTCTACAATGGGAGCTGAAAATACCTTGAATTGATTTGGCATGGTAACATGATAAAAGTGGATACATTACATTATTGGAGATAAGCTTTTACAACACAAAAGAGATCGTTACCACTGTTTCTCGGCACTTCATTGCTTTTGACTTACCAGACTGCGGAGAGTCTTCCCGGTCCTGAGCTGGTGTGCACGGCGGCGAGGGGAGAAGCAGCTTGTGGGTCAGAACCAGGCTCTGCTCCTCAGTAGAAAGAGGCTGTGTTTGAGCAGGGAGGTAATCCTGACCTTGGGGGTCTATAGGGGAAGACGGGGGTCCCAAGTCAGCCTCCAGGGCATGCATCTTGAGAGAGGGACTCTGGAAACAGAAGCAGAACATGGCTTCAGCGACAGGACAAGTCAGAGAGATGTTTCGTAGTCTGCGTGGAGGAAGTCTTCACATGCTGCTCAGGAATCTTCAGAAGTCCTGTAAAAGCATTTAGCTCCTTTATACGAAGAGAAATATTCTGGCAGGAGTGTCGTCGGTAAGAGAGTGGCAGGAAGAGGTGAGACTTGTCCTCGCCAAGAAAAGGAATGAGTCAGATTAAAGTGTATACATCGCTTTTAGCAGGCTGCTTTCGTGGGTGGCTGGAAGTGCGAGAGCAAAGGACGAAGTAGGATCAAAGTTATTGAAAAGCAAAAGCCAGTCCGTTACAAATGGTCATCACAATCAGCACATTCCTCTTCTGACTTGCTGTCGTGCATCAGCATACAGCGTGGGATCCCTGACGATCATCACGCAGTAATCCCGTTAGCAGTATCGCTGTGATTCTCAGATCATGTTTGTGGGTCCGCCGGAGTATTGTCCTCACAGAGAATCCCTCACTTCCACATGGCGTTCCTCCCGACCGGCTTTCTGCTACTGAGCTGCCTCCACATGGATTATTCAACATGCAGGAGAGAAGGGGGGGCGGTGGGAATACCGCTCATGTCGGTGCGTGTGGTGTGGGTGTGTGCGCAGGGGAGGAGAGAGGCGTGACGAGGCGTTTCCATGGCAACGTTGTCAGAAGGAGCAAGGGAGCCTATTTGATGGAGCTGCAGGGAGTCGCGTAGTGTCTGCCTCCGTATGTGTGTACGTATGATAAACAGAAAACAAAAAAGAATGTTATTGAGCTGCAAAAGAAACCTTAAGAGCGCAGGGGGAAGGTGTGAAAATGATAAGGATTTCAATCAGTTTCTATTGTTCATTTAGGTGCTGTGACATCATTCTCAGCATCAGCAGCAGCAGATAAGGGCTCGGCTTCGTCTTCCTCGCCCTCCTCGGCTGTTCATTCATAAAAAAAAGCACTGCTTTGTGCGTCAGAGAGAGGGGGAGGAAGGGAGGGAGAGGCTGCTATTTCTGAGGCAAACACCCACAGGCAAGCAATATCACACTTATACACACACAGGTACATACACACAGGTACATACACACACACTATCGCTGGAGGTATCAGCAGTCCTGTTGTCATAGATACCCTCAGTCTAAAAGTGATAACTTGTGAATATAAAAAGACCGTGGGGAAGGAGAACTTACGTCATGGCTGATGTTTCTGCCTCGGCAATCATCGTGTCTGTCAGGAGAACCTCCTCCTCCTCCTCCTCCTCCTCCTCCCTCCTCCTCCCTCCTCCCTCCTCCTCCTCCTCCCTCCTCCTTCCTCCTTCCTCCCTCCTCCTCCCCCCCTACAGTAACAGACAACATAATGGAGCCTCATTCCCAGAGGACACTTCCTGACACGACCAGCGTGGGCACACCCACGAGTACACGCACATATGTAGGTTACAATGACACATAAAGAGATATTATTTAGTGTGGGGGAAACTTCTGAAGCAATGGAGAGTCAGGACTCAGAGAGACACGAGGAGAGCTGGAGCTTTGATGTCAAACACTGGTGGTTTATTTGGAGTTACGGCCGGAGAATTGACAAAACAGGTGGTGTGTCACGAGTTGACGCAGGGGCCGGTTGCCAAACCAATTCTGAAGAACTCTTTCTGCAGCTCGAGGTTTTAACTAGTTCGGAGTGTAATAATCAACATTCTTCATCAGTGAGACTAAAGCCATATGGACCCTGAATCTAAGTAGAGCTCTCGTCCACAGAAAGAATGTATGCCAGGGAACCTAAACCTTCATCCCTGTCATAGACTGGCAACAACAATGCGCCCAAGCTGCTCCTCCTTAAGAGAGATAGCTGCAATACCCAAGGCCGTAGACCTATGCCTTGAGAAAAGAGACAGTAAAGAGAGAAAACGATTAACTGTGTCGAAGGTTGAATACTTAAGCAAATTATTCCCGAACATTGACTTTTAAAATAAACTTTTTTAACAGATTGAGGTTATTTTTCTCCAATGAAATTTAAAACGAGTTTCTTTAACTAAAGTCAAGACCAACAGACTTTCACATTTCACTTATTTTGTATGCAAGTCATTTGTAAAGGTGGGACAGCAATCTCTCTGTGACTCTCCAGGGTGTATTTTAATAAACTAAATGTATAATGTTATCATGGGTTAATCTGGTAACCCTGATTTATGTAAATCATTCAACAATATCATATCAAATATTCCCTTTTACACTGTCTGTGCTCAGATATTAACCAGGGTTGCCAACTCTCACGCATCTGGCGTGTGACACACGCGTTCACTCTCAATCTCACGCTGCCCAAACTATTCTCACGCCAAAAACAAGATGAACCAGAGATCGTTTTTGGTTTGTTATTTAAAATGTTGAGTTGACAGCTGCTCATGCTGTCGATCTGCTCCCTCCCCGCCCCCACCACTCTTAACAACGTTAACAGACAGCAGAGCAGTGGGAGCCGGTTGGTCAATCCCCGACCCGTATTGCGCATGCGCAGATCTAAGAAATGATCAAAAGTCAAAGGTTGCGTTCCGATAATCCAAAAATCAGCTCCTAAATTCTAACCCTATCTCCTATTCCTTGACCTCTGAGTGAAACGTCACGGGGTTAAGGGATAGTGGATAGGAGAATTCAAAAGGACTTAGGAGAAGAGACCGCGGTACTTTAGAGAATCCGAATGCACTTTCACTATCTGACGTGTTTATGATGCGCCAGCGGACGTCATGAATGTGCGTCTGCTGCTGTGGGGAAACTATGGAAACTACAGTTTTCTATACAGCGGACTACAACATGGATGTTTAATAAGAAGGAGGGACTACTGTAAACTCATCTAGAGACTCTGCACCGTGCTCTGATGCTGTTGCTTTATGCTTTATGAACGTGGACAACAGAGAAACATATTCTTCATGACCAAAGTTGGAATTGAAATAAAAAAGGAAAGTGAAACTTATGCTCATCACCCTCTCCCTCCGGTCCACATTAATACAAATGATCCCAATACGTATGATTGTATGAACTATGAAAATATCTTAAAATCAATACAAATGTATTTATTATAAACGTTAGTCCTTAACACCTATCACTGTGTATATCACCATTCAAACATCTTTTAAAAGTTGAACAAACCCCACACAGCTCAGTAAACACTGTGAAATGTTGACTTTATTTGATCATTTCAGTAAAAACTAACGTTCATATTTCTCTTTTTGATTATAATACTGATGAACGTTCAGAAAAAAGCACTTTGGCAATTTACCACATACGTTTTAAAATGCTTAATAAGCACCGTAATTTTCATGATATAATTTCTCGGTCATAATCGGTTGTTTCCGTGAACGGCCGACTGTTGAGTGACGGCAAATGCTGCGGCTGCAACGCATTGTGGGGCAGCATTTTCTCCTCTCTTTTCGGTTAGGGAGGTCCAGTGGTTCCTAAACTAAAGGAGGTTATAAAGGAAGTTTGAAACCTCCTTTCCTTTCATTTGGAGAATTGGAACGGCACTTATCATGGCTGCCAGTGACGTACTTCCGGGTCATTTCACTCCGTTAGGAAGGTTCCTAAGCTAAATGGACTATTGGAATGCAACCAAAGTCTGCTGCTTATTGTTCTACTAGGCCAAAATAGAGTCAAAGAGTATATGAGAGTGAGAGTGTGTTAATTAATATATTTGGCAGTTTGGAGTAAATCTGTAGATTTGTTTGTGTTTCATGCGATAATTAATTTTGTTGGATACATTTTCCCGGAAATTATTGCGATAAACGATAATATTGTTGGCACCGTTAGACCACTGACATAATGATAATATATAATAATAATTCAAGTATATCCTTTCAAACTGCTAGTCACATCCTCATGTAAATGGCAATTTATCGAGGTCAGAAAAGTTATCGAGTTCATTTTTATTTATCGTACGATAAGTAAGTAAATGAATTGCTTATCGCGACAGGCACACAATAAAACAGTGGAAACAAACATGTGTTTGACTTTCATTAGTGAATGAAACTTTGTGCCCTTTATAGTCTGTGTCCAATATTGTGTATTAGCATATATTGTATATATATATATATCCTATATATATGCTAAGGTCCCGCTGCTGACACGATAGCAGTCATTTAGTGCGCATATGTGTAATTAAACCCATGATATCAAAATCTGACTCCAGCCAGGCACCCAAAGTTGGCAACCCTGTATTAACTAAGCATTCATATCACTTTATTTGTTATCCAGTATCTTAAGAGAACTGACAAGACAAATGCTCTTTCTCAGTGACTTTTTTTTTTTTTTTAAATATATATTAGTGCATTAGATCTTTCTGGCTTGCAAGCCCAAGGCTACACACTCTCAGACCGGGTCATTTTAAAAATGAATTCACTTAATGGGAGCCTGTGGAAATGTTCTCTGAGATGGCAGTTTCAAAAAGTCTGTTTACCTTCTTAGATTCAGCGGTTTGGGATCCTGCTTTGTGCTTTTCGCAGAACAGCATCCTGAAAAATAAAGAAGTGTCAGCAACTGATTGAAAAATGTAATTGTATTAATAACTAGTTTAAAAAGAGAATGTGAAAATAAACACTGTTTCACAACCCATGTGATTTTATTGCCGATTATCTCTGTTAGTTTACTATTCATAGACAATACTGCATGAAATGTGCTCCAAGGCAGCCCAGCGCTTTGTGTAGCTCTGAGGCAGACGGTCATCTGGCAGAGCCATTAAGGTTAGGCTTATTCATGTCTGACACTAATGAGGCATAATTTAGAGGACCTGCCCTGTGGCACGGGGAGGCAGCAGCACAACAAAAAGTCACCATGCCAGTTTTGGGTCGACCTAATCCGGCTACTTAGTCTGCTCCATGTGAGCCCCTGTGGCAAGGCAGTGTTATTTGGACTGGAAATATATCAAAACCATGACTGTGAGCAGCACTCGGCTCTGACAACATACTTCTCAACTGAACTGAGAGGAACCACGGAGCATCCAAAGGAATCAGATAATACTCATTTAGATACATTTAAAAACAGCTCCAAAATACTATCATGGCCCCTTTTATTTAGATACTTTTCTTTGATTTGAGATTGTGTTTTCAGATTAAGTTTTAAAGGTAGGGTAGGTAAGAATGGAGAAACCAGCTCGAGTGCGCTAGAATTTGAAAGTACACAACCGGAAACAATCTGCCTCTTCCTTCAGACTTCCTCACAGAGCCCCTCCTCCAACACACTCGAACACACACATGACCAATGAGAGATACGTTTGTGCACAGATGGAAGGCTGACAGGCAGGTAGGCCATCCAGTTATTTTAGCCGGGCCGGCTCAGATGATTGGTCATGCTTTTTACAGCGCCACGGCTTCCACAGATGAAATTATTTTATGTATTTATTGTCAAAGCACTTAAGATATTCATTGCTATCGGGATGTTAAGTGCATTCCGTGGAATATAACAAAAAGTGTTTCTGAAGTGAATGACCTACCCCACCTTTAACTGGCTGATTTAAAAAGGGTTAAATGATGGATTCTTATTCCACTTGGATGTTATCTGCCAAGACCAATGAGCAAAAGATGGCTGCTGGCTGCTCTAAAACAATAGAGGAAATCAGGACTTCCGCAACATGTCATGGTGTGTAGTCTTCCTGCAGTAATGTTCCTCTCACCTCTGTGTGCGGTGAGTCGGTGTGATGCTCTGTGATTCAGAGGCTGTGCAGCGGTCTGAAATAGAAGATTTCTGCACCGCATCGGTGGGAGCCTGAAAAACAATTCAGTCCATGATTAAGAACCGTTCATGATGAGGTGAAATCGAGCTAAACACTGCATAAGATGTATTTTGCTGTACAAAAAAGGTGGACCAAATGTCTATGGTTATATAATACATTTGAAAGATAACTGTTATTGCTGAATTATATTTGGCTTTCGAGGGGAAAATGGGGAGAAAGTAGGAATTAAGAAATACTTGAAAGTAAAGAGAAGAAAAAAAATCAGTGAGTGCTAAACTAAGGTGAGGAACAAATGTGCTTTCTTTCTCTACCTCTTCATCCTCCTCGCTCTCATTCGGTAGTGGCACCGTGTACTGTGAAGAGGTCCTGTTGATAAAGAAACACTCAATAAACTAGAGGAGTCACACAATTCCTGTTCCAAAATGTTTAAGGATGAAGTAGATCGGCAAATGCTTATCTTCTTAAAATGTAGTAAACACTTGCAACACTTTGGTTCCCTTGGTACATCATTACAAGGTGACCACTTGTGTGTGGCAACAAAAAAGAGCCTACCGTTGGGTGGTACACTTCTGGAGGCTTCTGGGTGGTCTGCTCTGGTGAGGGTGTCGCTCTGGCCCGGGGTCAGAGGGGGGGGAGATCATCCAGCCAGCCTCTGCTCTGTCACTGCTCTCCTCCAGAGGCTGCTGGTCTGGAATCAGCTTCTGAAGGTCAGCGCTGACGTCAGAGCTGGTTTCACAAGCCTGTGTGTCAGGACTGAGGAGAGACAGAAATAGAGAGAGGTGTGCACAAACAGGAGGAGGTGAGGAGATAAGGAAGTATCAGTTTCTAATGAGGCATGCTTTTTTAAAGGCTTCGTAAATTATATATATCATAACATATGAACAGTTCATAAATCACAAGGTCCTTTATGGATTGATCAGTGTCAAGAAAAATGATATGAATAAAATGTTGGTACAACCCGTTATAGGGGCCTCCGAATAATTGACACAACTTTATCAATTGACTTCAAGGCAAATTGGAAATGTGTTGTGTATCAGTGAGTCTGCATATCTCAGGACTAACAGGAGTAGATGTCCAACAAATGAAACCTAGAATAAACTGCTGGCCTCCGCGCCAGGTAACATCCAGCAGGTCACGAATCAGCAGCGTTTAATCTGAAGCTACACTATGACACATGAAGTTCGGATGAGATGCTCCAAGCAATAACAAGCACGAGCGATTTGCTGCGACGTGAACCAAAAACAACCCGGTCACGTTCCTGCTCAAAGCGCTGTATGACTCCAGATCTGCAACCTGCAGCACACGGGTTAGCAGCCCAATGCTGCCTTTAGGGCAAACAGCTGAATGCATTATGAACATAACTTGCTTTTCTGCTGCAAGGCCAACTTCCTCAAACAAGCTCCATCCTAAAAAAGCTTAAATAAAAATAAAGGTTTCAAAACAACTGCAATCTAATGTTAACACTGTTGATATGCTAGATGTACACTTTAGCCTCTGCTTCTCAAACCGCAGATTTATTTATGTGTATTTGTGTGTATTCCTGCTAGGAATAGTTATATGCATTCTTGACATTAAGCAGCTACATTGAGTCTTAGACGTGCTTTATCTCACTCACTTGTGGAGGGTTGCAGCCCTTTGGTTGTTATCACTGAGGCAACAAGAAAACATCCTTCGCCAAAACATCTAAACTCACAGCGGTGTAGCATACAGATTTACACACGACAGTGGACAGCTTGCTGCCTTCAGAGGACAGATCATTCCAAAGGTAAAAAGAAAAGAAAGAAAAGAGGATGACTTATTGATGGTCAACAACACACAAGTGTTCAATTACCGGTGCACACACTCACTCATATGTCACAACTTCACACACATACACCATTACACATAGTTCCAACTCAAATGCTAACATACACATACTGTATGTACTCGGATAAAACAGCACTTAAATATATACAAATCACTACAATACAGCAGAGCTGATATTTACTGGCCCTTTGAGTATAATGTTGAAAAAAAAAATAATAATGTTTTTTTTTATTTTAGATTTTTTTTTTTTTTGGGCCAGAGTGCCTTTATTCCAGAGAGGGTGTTACATTGAGAGATAGAGGGGAATACATTGCCTGAAAACTACCTACTGTAGTGACAACTCCTGTCATTTATTGCATCTCTGCGTGAATGATTAGATCATTTCACCTAAATTAAATCAAATGAAATGATGTTGATGGTTAAATTAGCTTCACATGTAGGCCTACTGAGTTATGAACTTGCCATTTAGATATATAAAGGCCTTTGATTTAATTAAACACAATATATGCACTCCACTATGCTGTTGTAGTATTTACTGAATCTGAAGCTCTTAATATGATTGCTCATATTTCAAGCCATCTTTTTCCCGGCCCCTTGCATTGGATAATTTTCATCAACCGGCCCCCATTCCAAACTAATTGAATAGCCCTAATGTCACACTCAAACACATCAGTATAAATGCTGACTGATATTAGCATTATCTCCTGATGTCAACACTGGTTTAAAAAAGCAATAATTACTCATGTGTATTAACCAACAGACCCCATTATTTAACATATGTCTTGACATTTGCTGTATATTACTATTGATGAAAAGTAGCTTACTAAAAACCCTCTGACCTTTTTCTCAGAACTAGATCTTGTGTGACTGGTAAGACACAGAAAACAGATACCTGTTTTGAAATCAAACCCCCTGTAGGTATAATTAGACTCGAATCAATATTGGCCTGTGAGACGTTAGTGCCAGACGTCAGCATAGAGGTCTAGACTTTCGGGGAAAGACCAACATCCCAGTGACAAAACCCAATCCGACATGTGCAGAAGCAAATACCAAAAAAGGGCCAATTTGTATCTGTTAATGCCAAATGTAGTCAAAGGCTAACATTGTTAACAAAGGAACCATGAGGAATATGGCTACCTCTGTCTTTCGCTGCTGGTCTTGAATTTAATCATTATTAACCATTAATCATTATCATTTAATAATCCAATCATCCAACGTTTTATAGTTATTTAATCTTGCTCTGACTGTGAAAGTGACAAAGTTGCGTGCCTTAGATTTCAGACAATATATTCTCTATTATCTAGAAAGATAGACAGTTGGGAGGAGGCAGCATCTTCTGCCTGCTAACAGATGAGAGTGGGAAGCTGTTAAATGAAAAATGATTGATATGTGTTAGCTCTGTGAGTGTTAAAAAAACAAAACACTTAGAAGCGATGAGAGCAGGCATGGCAGAACCTTTCCTTGCAGCTTGACTGATTTTAAAACAGAGAGAAAAAACAGCCATTTGGCAGGCGGGCAGCTGGAGTGCATCAACGTGAGCTGTGGAAAGAAATGGAAGTGTCCGTCTTTTTTCTGTTATGCAAAACCTGGATGGCCAATAACCCTAGTGTACACACACACACACACACACACACACACACACACACACACACACACACACACACACACACACACACACACACACACACACACACACACACACACACACACACACACACACACACACACACACACACACACACACACACACACACACACACACACACCACACACACACACACACACACACACACACACACACACACACACACACACACACACACACACACACACACACACACACACACACACACACACACACACACACACACACACACACACACACACACACACACACACACACACACACACACACACACACACACACACACACACACACACACGTTATGCAACCTGTTGAACCTGTGCTCTTTAAACTGAGACGTGTGAGTATTTTAAAAATACAGCCTGATCAGTCTTAAATCTGGCTGCCGTGATGTGCCATATCTTCGTAAACCCTCATATCAAATGTTGCCGGTAGTTCACAAGGATATTATTAGCAATTCCTCATGCTTGTTTGTTTTCACTTACTGTCTTAATTACCTGAATTCCACCGATGGCAGATCTGTTTCATAACAAATGTAACCAATACCACAGAGCATGAGGTGAAGCGTCTTTATCTCCATTAGCTTCAGGCAGAATTCCCATCAACACATTAATGCCCCGGCCACACGAGGACAAAAACGCCCGTTGCGTTACTGTTTAGTGTCATATAGACCATTCGGCCACACGAGGACGACCGCATACGGCACTAAACGACTGAGGAAACGATAACGGGTCCCAAGGTGGATAGAACGGCATACGCAACGCTCTGGGGGGTCAAACAGCTCCGTGTGTGCGCCATACGATCATTTTCTGATAATGATTGCGCAATAGCCCCGCCTCTCCCCACCTCTGCTGCTCACCTCCGCGTACCCCGCGCCATTGCTGATGTGTTTCGCCACCAACAACAACAATGGCGGATCGCAGAGTTACTATCGTGCTCCGGACGCTACTGACCATGCTACAGTTCTTTGTGCAACATCTACAGCAGACTTACACATCCGGAGGGGATCTTACTCGCTGCTTTTGTGGATATGTACTGCAGCTTCAGCGATCATTTCCTGATAATGATTGCGCAATAGCCCCGCCTCTCCCCACCTCTGCTGCTCACCCCCGCGTCAAAGTAAACTGCACACTGAATTCAGATTATTTATCTTTCTCTCGATATGGACATAAACGCGAGTGAAGTCTAATCTGACAGGACGGAGACACCTATCAAACTACCTAAACTAGTTATAAATATGTTTATTTTTACTGTCGGCCGGGTCACTCATTACTGGATCAGCTGCTACATGAAACAGACACTGGCGCTGTCCAAAGAGAGGGTGGAAAAAGAGAGGCTCCGTGTATTTTTATTATTATATTATATAGAGTCATTATTCATTTGTTTTAAAGCTCAATAAATAACAAAGAAGACCTTTGACCGGCACTTTTATAATTTTGTCGGAAGATTTAAACTTTAATACACGTTGACTGGCGAAAAACTCTGCCCGGTTCCCTCGGCCCCCACCGCGGAGAATAAACAGAAGGGCAACCATGACAACCATGCTTCTTCGCTGCTTTTGTGGAAGAAGTTACAGCGCCACGTACAGGCTCCTGCATATGTACTGCAGCTTCTCCAGCGGTTGGAGCTAAACGGAGCGGTCTCGTGTGGACAGACACTATCCGGATAACTATTGCGTGTGGACGGAAGCTTGTTTGCGATTGCGTTTGCGTTAATCCTATGCGTTTAGCCGTTTTCGTCCTCGTGTGGCCGGGGTCTAAGACACCAGACACACAACTGTACCCATACATGGTAGACAGCCACACAATTAATCAGCAAGTGCAAGGCCATGTCACATGCTGTCTACGGGTGGACGAAAAAAGAAAATATATTAATGACATCTGATGTCTACAACCTTGTGGCAACCCTTCAGGATTTAAAAATAGCACCGTGGCCTCCGAGTTCATTATGAGTTGGAAACGTTCCCCACAAGCAGATGTCAGCTATAGTATGTAGATTAGCTGGGGAAGCAATTCTTCCACCCATCTTCAATTAAAAACAATGTGATTTTACATTAGTCATTAGAATGAAAGGCAGCTTTACAGGCAACTGCACTTGTTTCTGTTGACTACAGATACTGGATGTGTTTCTGCCGAGGGTTTGTGACACAGTTGGACATCTTTTTTGACTTCCATGAGTGAAAGAAACCTCCAGAAGTTGGCCCTAATTCACTGTGAGTGATGTTTAGTCTCAGTGATAGAACCATCAACCTGACAACTGGCTAAACGATGCTGGAGTGAAATGCTACAGGGGAAAAACTCCTACTTATTCTCGCAGTAGAATATATCTGAAGGGAGAGGATTGTTTGTATTCACACCAAATGAATGTTCATTGATACATTAACTGTGGCTAAGGCTCAGTTGCATGAACATTAGTAATTCATATCTGTATATCTATGCAGTTACAAAGTCACTGATGGTACCTGTTGAGTTGGAAACGCCTCTGTATTGTTTGGTTAACACCACTGCTCGCTGACAGTGAAGCGGTCTCTCCCTCCGGCCTCTGCACACTGCTCTGCTCTGAGTGACAGCTGCTGGATTGGAGCTACCAAGGATAAAAAGGGTTAATACTCACATCTCTACAGAGGCAACAAAACCTCAAGGTCAGGGACTGCAATGTAATACAGTGTTCATGGTTATACTGGACTAAGGCCAATCATTATTTATAAAGAGTATGAAATGACTGATATTTACACCATAGTTTGGCAGTACTTACCTGCTGTATCAAACACCTAGTAGGGTAATAAATCATTGAGCATGACCTGGAATAAAATGAGCGGTTCAGCTTCATGGCTATCATGTTCAGCAGTAAGTTTGCTGCAGGTCTGATGGTGCAGATTACATTAAAAAGGGCTAAACCACCAACAAATCTCTCAAAACTCACTTATTCACTCTCGCTTTCAAACTCTGATAAACACCCTATAAAACTCCCATGTGCTATTATTATCATTTTTACAAGCCCACTGTGTTATCTCCGAAAGCCTGCAACCTTATATGAAAATATATCTATGAATAATCTTAGTTACCACAGGCAAAACAACCATTTTAAGACCTTTATAAATGTCATAGACTGTGCACAGATGAGATAGTTATGTTGTTGATAAAGGCTGTGGGCTTGTTGATTATTTTTGCATTAAAATCACAAAGTGTAACAAGACAGATGACAACAATTGATCAGTGAGAAACCATTTTTGATGAAGGATATAAAAAAAAAAACATGGTTCACCTCAAAGTGTGAAAGGGCAGATAGGGTAGGAGGAGGGGGGGAGGAGGAGGAGGACATGGAGGAGGCCACTGTGTCCTCGGCTGGGATTGGAAATAGATCCTGGTGGTGCCTCAGGAGATGGTGCAACAGGGCATTACACACATTCTGATCGTCCAGCATCCTGGGTCCCGCAGGAACACTGCATACAAATACAAATATAATGTCACACATACAGTACAGTACTGTGTAGTGCAACAAAGATCATGGAAATGGGTCCACCTAGTGGAAGGAGGCAGCAGTGAACTGAGATAAACTGCTCAGACAGTATGAGGTAAATCAAAGTCTTACACTCGGGAAAGTCCATCACCGATCACCCACTAACCAAAATAAAAAAGTCACGCTGTACACGATTGTGTAATTTCACTGTGACGATGACAACTTTCAAATTTCAGAGATATGTGCAGCTTCTGGTCATTATATTTACAATACAGAGATAAGCGCCACCTTAAATAGTCTCCACATGTTTACCTGGAAGCAGCTATTTATTTAGATAAACATGCTTTTGTTGACATCATCCACTTTATATTAAGGATGTTTATAATGTTTGCATGTTAGGTAAAGGTTAACAGAGCATACATCCAGGGAAGAGCATGTGAAACATGTGAGTATTAATAGATGTGTGTTTACATGGCAGACGAGTCACGGGGATGACAGGAGAAGTGTTCCACATGGATTACATAACGAGGAACAAGCTGTTGGGAGTCTTGGTTGACAAACATGCATGAGTTATCGGGTGGGGGCCAAATAAGCTGTCACATATGCTGCATGGCACGAACATGTGCTACACTGTCTGTCACACCAAGTCATTTATGTGGGTTTGATGGCAATATCATTTCAATCTTGGAAAAAGCAACAGAAAAATAAGTGGGTTACGTTAAAGTGGTGTTTACATTATTTTGCAGCATGTATCCGTCATTATTACCCCAATGTTTACTAAACCATTACACTATTATTCTCTTTCTATGTGAGATGTGAATGTAAATCCAGAAAGAAATGCAAAGGACAGTCTCCAACTCTCTGCTGCTAGACCCACCCCTAACTTTTTCCAAGCATCTAATGCCAACTCTTTCTTCCCCTTAGCTATAATCATAATCACATGACATTTTCCCTTCAAAAGCAGACTTGTATGGTGTGACTAACACCACATTCCACTGACATGCTGTTCACTTCTGGAACCAAGCAGACATAGATAGACTGGGAGATCAAGGGATGGGGGCAGTTGAATGGGTGTTGATGACGTAGGATATGTCCTTTGACTCCTTTCCAACCATACAAATCTATTTGTCGAGTGTGTCTCCCTAGAGGTTGTGGTTGTTTACAATGATGGCTATGTTCTGTAAACAGGAGGGGGAGAAGCTGGAGATAAAATCCTGATGACATCTTTTATAATCAGTCGGATTTTTGTGTGCCATCAACTGCATCCACACCCATTTCCTTTAGGGACAAACGTGAATCCACCCAAACTTAGTGGTGCAGAAAAAAAGACCAACTGAAGCTGGTAAATGGGACCAGAACTGGGTTTGTTTGATTTCATGAGAAACTAACAAAGTGGGTTTTTTCTCTACATCTGTATTTGACTATGACAAACCATAACCATTGATTGTGCAGGAAACATCTGCACTCTCATTTGCTGACCTTTACATTGTTCTTGATTACACTTTTAGAGAAATCCAGCTGTATCTTTCTTCAAAACTGTGGGAAAAGCAATATTTTGAAAAGTCTAAAAAACGGTTTTAAGCTTAATGTCAGAGTAAACACACAGCGTACTGATTTGATTAGAAGGACATTGTGTCCAAGTTCAGGTCTTAAAATGTGGCCGTAACAACAACTTACTGAAATATGCAAGGCCCGAAGATTGTTGCCAGATTTTCCACAGGCATGTGATTATATTCTCTGTGAGCGGCCACTCTGGACAGGAAGTGGATGAGGTAAAACAAAATAGTGAGGTTGTCATCAGGCAGGTGGCAAATGTTTTCTCTCAGAGACCGGTTCATCTCTGCCTCATTTGCATATCCTTAAAAATAGACAAACACATCACAACATTAATTAAACTGAATTCCGCATGTATGGATATACAGTTTATAACCAGACTCAGAAAGTTGGTATATTAACATACCGGACATACATACTAGCACTTCTGGTCCAGATATGAATTTCTACTGAAGAATTTACCAGACGATTTAGACCTCTTAACTCTGCTGTTTACACTTCTACTTCTTTGCAAGGATTTGTTTTGAAGATGAAGTGTTGGAAACATGAAAACCTTCCAAGAAATACAGAGTCTGCCAAACATTGGATTAAGAACAACAACCATCCTACAAGTTCTCATTCTGGCTTTAAATATTTGACTTTTAATCTAATGCTTCAAGACACAATCATCAGAGTTTAGACTATCTTCAAACCAGGAGATAAACTGTTTGTATAGCCATTATGTTACTGATTGGTTCACTTTATTCTGCTCATTTTGTGTGTTTGCTGCTGTCATTTATATTTTGTTTAATCATTTAAATGTATGTTGACTTGGTTTTTATAACTTCTCTTTTTTTTTTTATCTTAAGTACTAGAGAAGTCCATTGTTTAAGGCTGTGCCTTTTTGACCTTTCCTAAATCAAATCAAATAAATACCTTTGAGGCTCAGAACCAGCTGTTTGCGCTGGGGTTCAGGAACTATGGCGATTGGCAGCTCCCTGAGGAAGAGTTTGAGGAGCGACGCCACGGTGGGGACGTCTCCCTCATGCTCCATGTCCACCCTCTCCCCACAGTCTGAGCGCTGCCTCAGCTGCCTGGTCCGCACAGCAGACCCACACAGGCGGAACAGCCCTCTGTGGTGCAGTCCTGAGGTCAAAATCAAGTACACACACAGGTGATGTTTGAGTATTGTTTTCCTTGAGAGACCAAGATAATGATGAAGGATATGAAGGGGGAAGGGATGTGCTAAAAAGGGACTTTAAGAATAGCATAGGACTCATGCAACAATGAGCCTCAATTACCATTCTTATCCAGGAACTCCACCATGTCTCTTAGGACAACAGGTATTCCATCGACCATCTGCCCGTCCTCTCGCAGTGTTTCTAAGGCAACGGCAAACACACACCTTGCGGACAGTTCAGGCTTTGAGACCAGGGTGAGGGCAGGGGGCTCCGGGCTGACCTTAGCACTGGGCCTCAGGATGCTCACTGAGGACGGGTCGCTCTGCATGGAAAGAGGACATACATGCAACAGCTGATTCATAAACAGAAACATTACTGAATAGACAGAGGTGTTAGAAAAGTAGTGAGTTTTTCATCTCCAGCGTGACTTACATTTGAATGGGGTCATTCATATGTTCCCAGGGTCCTTATTGTAAGTAAGATATAGTGGGCTATGCATCTCAAGTTGCAAAATAACAAAGACAGAGGCATTTTTCAAAAGCAGGTTGAATGGTTTTATGCATTCAGCTGCTGTGTTGATATGACTGTCTAAAGTCATGAAAACGGTCTTGCCTGTAGATTTGATTGTGTAGGTTTTAAGGAGTACAACTTCAATAGGCTATAAGATATAGTGGATCATTTCAAGAAATACAGAAGCATTTTGGTCTGCTTTAACATGTCATATTAAGAGGTTAAATTAGCTGGGGAACAGTGGAACAAAGTGTCCACTTCTATTACTTGACCAATGTCATAAATGTGAAAACGCTTGCTGATTATCAATACAATAATACACTCAGTGAAGACACAATGGCATATTTATTGATATCGACATCTTGATATCTTTATTCTTGATATTGAAATCGTCAAGTCCAAACATTTAAATATTAGATCTTGTACTAAGTAGAAGTATCAGAGTGAAGAAATACTATGTTACAAAAGTCCTGCAATCAAAATGTTACTCTAGTAAAAGTACAAAGAATGCAAAATGTCCTATTTCAGAACAATATATATTATATGTTTTGATTATAATGATTGATGCATTCATTTGTTTATCAAAGCTGGCTAGTTTTAATCACTTTGTAGACTGTAAGATAGTTAGTGCATTAAATCCAGGTGTAACTAAATCTACATTTAGTGTGGTTTATATTTCACATTAATAAAATCTGCAAAGTAACTAAAGGGACTTACTAAATGTAGTGGAGTAAAAGTACACGATTTACCTCTGAATTGTAGAAGGGTACAAAGTAGCAAAACATTGAAACACTCAAGAAAAGTACAAGTTTCTCAAAATGTAGCCCAAGTGCAGCACTTACTAATTACTAAAGTAAACACCACTGAATAAAGTTACATCCATTAGATACATTTCACAACAACAGCTGTCTTTCTGTGTGGTATTTCATGAAAATGAAACTGCTAAGAAGGTAGTCTGTTTTTAATACTTATATTAACAAGTACAAATGCCCTACACAAGGTGTAATCAATTGGAAAATCAACTGGAAAACACGGAGCCATGTTATAAGACAGCAGCTAGTGTTGCTAAACTTACACAGAGTGACACAGAAGCGCTTGCTCCCATTTTTCAGCTCACCGCACCGGGACTACTCTCCATATCTCAAATGTAGACGTATTTCTCCCTCTCCCGCGACATAAATAATGCTCCACTCTCAGAAACTCCCGGGAAGTCCAGCCAACAACGACCCATCGTTCTCACATCCAAACGCTAGGCTTGCAATAAGTAATACATGCTGTTAGTAAAATGGTTGGGCTATACTTCCTACCGTAATGTTAGCTCCCTTGATAATTGTTTATGTTGCTAGTCACGTGACGAGTAACCATGGGGACCGGTGATAGGGTTGCCAGGAGAAGGAGAAGCAGCTCATGAGGATGAAAATGGTCGACTGACTTTGTATGAAAGCTGATTCCCCCGGGAGCAGTGTGTATGTTTCCTGTTAGAGGAGGTAAAGTGGAAGCGGAAGGACGACATGTTATTTTATGTTTTCATGGGAGATTTGCCAGAAGTGTGCCCCTGCATAACAAGTGCCACATTTAAAAAATAAATGTCTGTACACTTTTGTTGTGGTCTAAAAAACACAATACAAATAATGGAAACGGAAATGATAAAAAAGGAGTACTGTAAAAAAGGTTATCATTTAAATATGAATACTAACTATAAATAAGAACACTTTTTATTATGTTAATATTATAAAAAAGAAATGAACAAATTATTTTTGGTGGAATGAATTCAGAATTTAACAAAGAAAAAAAATAGATTTATTTTTTAAATTAGGCAAACACCTAATAGGTATGTCACACACTTGACCGTTTTAAATGCAAATATTTTATTGGCAATTTTTTTCATTTTTTTTTTAAATAAAACAATAATATTCATGAATATTGTAATACTGGCATACAAAATAAGAATGGCTGGGTATCTCCTCTAGTTCAGTACTATTTCTAGCTTATCTAGCTTTACCTTGTAAATACTCTCTACATCACAAAAAGCTATCGTCCCAGATTTACCCTTGTGCCTGAAACTGGAACTATCAAAAATACATTTGTAGTGGTGTATTTAGCAACATTCAAGTGATTCTAAAAGCCTATTGCAATGTCTTCATTACAATTATTACCACAATAATCATCTTCCAACATTAAAAAAAAGAAGTTTTTTACAGCTCTATGGCCTGTTTTGTGCATATATAAAATGCAATAGCACATAGGACTTTACAAACTATTGCTAATATAAAAGTTTATCAAACAATCCATAGCACACACATACAAACCTGTGCACGTGTTTGACCATGTGTGTGCAGACAGGTACACACACAATGCACACGTAAATATATAGCACACACAACAATAATGGGAAATGGGAAAGGATCAGCCTGGTCAAAATGAATCGCCAGCAGATGTCATGATAATCATGCCACAAAGAGCAACATGCTGTTAAGTTTGGAAATACAGTAGGATCTCTTCATTGTCTTTACATGTTTTTGAATCAGCATAACTTTTTCAAAAAGTCTCTCATTCCTAGAAACACGAGGTATGTGGAACTCAAAATAATATTTATAAAGCAAGGTTTTTGAATTGTTCCAACAGGCATTATGTGTTGACAGGCATTGCCTATCATTGATGCTTTGCAAAGTTACATAGTGTAAGATATGAAGTATATTAAAACCATAAAAATGTGTTGCTAAAATGATGATTATCAAAAAGCGCTCCCTCTCTCATCAATCCCTGTATATTTTCTGTTCCAGTAAGATTCCTGGGAGAATTATTTGTGCAGTTTCAGAGTGGTTTGAAATGTTCTCATTGTGTTAAATTAACAACCAACAATGTTTTTCTCCCAGGTAATATGAACAACAATATGTCTATTTTTAAGAGCTACAGCGAAGAGAAAATAAGTGTTTATGTAAACACAATGCAAAATTTGGGAGTTGAACAACATTGTTCAGTTCACCTCGTAAAATGAGGCAATAATTAAAGTCAACACAGGTATTACAGTCAAACCTATAAAAATATCTGCACTATTGTTTGAACCTGAGAAATGCAGGCAACGTACAGAAGAAAGGCCTGTATTTCAAAACCTCTGGCAAGTATTTTGGTATATTAGAACCTGGCAGCAAAGGTAAGGAGGACACCTGCAAAGTCAAAGAAATGAAGTCCTCCCAGAGAAGGTTTGGGTATCAGCGGAAAATTGCTTGGCAGTAGGTGTGAGATATGAGTCTTTATGAAAGGTGTTTAAACTCAGGCTACAGAGGCAACTTTGTCACAGTTGCTGGTGTACTGGACGTCTGGTCTGTCACTCTCAGAGGACTTGGCGGACTTCCTTTTCCAGCAGGGCAGGTTTAGCAGAAGGAGAATTACCGCTCCCAGCTCCACACAGCCCCCACTGAAGTAGAACGCCAAGTCATATGACTGCGTCCAGTCAAAGAACCACCCTGGAAAGTGATGAGAATAAACAGACATTGTGAGCAGAGTCAGCAGGAATTCTCAGCACATACAGCAGTCAGCTATATTAAGACAAGCTGGCTCTATTGAAGTCAACAAGCCCTTCTACTTGCTCTGCCTGTCTGATTCAAAATGTGTTTTTTTGATTGTCTCTTAAAACATGGCACAATGTTAGTTTTTTTTAACAGAATAAAAATATCTACAGACCTCTATCCAACCAATACAATTGCAAATGTAGATAGCCTTCCTACCTACAACAGGGGGTCCCAACATGATCCCAAAGCCCCCGAAGAACATGAGGATGCCGTGGGCTTGAGTCAGTTTGTCCAAGCCAACGATCTTAGTGGTAATGTAGGAGGTGAGAGACCAGTTTCCAGAGAAGAAACCCAGGACGAAGGACAGGATCTGAAGTCCCAGATAACTCTTAGTGAGAGGGATAAGGAACAGTGTCAAACCTCCAGCAAACATGGTGAAGGCATACAGAAAGATGCCATTAATCCACTTGATGTCCACCAGCATACCCAGCAGTAGTTTACCAGCACAAGAGGCGATAGCCCCTATTGATACCAAAGGAATGACACTAACTTCTTCCATGAGTCCTTGGCTCATCGCCACATCCTCTATAAAGAGCACAGGAGGGAAAGCCCCCAGACTGAACAGAAAGATGCTAATGCAGAAGGACATCATCGATTGGTCCTGCATGATCTCATACATGGAGTGCATGTACTTGGAATAAGCCTGCTGCTTCTTCTTGATGACTTTAATGATGGCCAACCCAGCCAGGAAGCTGCCTTTCTTCTTCTCTGTCTGAACGGCTGAGTCTTTTGTATCAATGGTGATAAGCATCTCCTTCACCATCAGAGATTTATCTGGAGTGGTTGAGGTTGAACCTGCTATGATTGTCAGGTCATCCAGTGGGGGCTTCTCGAAAAGCTGCTCCTCTGTGTTGCGTTCCAGGGCAGCCTTCTGTTTGAGGTAGTACCCTGGCATGTTGAGGGGCCTCATGAACCCAGCGCAGGCCATGAGGTTTAGTGCTACGGCTCCGATGATCAACAAGCAGCCATCCAGGCCGTACATCACGATCAGCTCGTTCTGAGCGGAGGCATATATGAACGCTCCAACACTTGTGCCTGGTGAGAAGAGAAAGATAGAACATTTATATTTGTGTTAGAAAGAGACATATTAATCTGTAAAAAATGAAGCCACTATGTATAGAATCTTAAATGTCTTAATCTAACACATTTTAAACACAACGGCATACATATTTCTTTCTGTAGAAATATTTGACATCTTTATAACAAACTGGTACAAAAATTATACTTAAGCTTATTAATGTCTTCCCAGATTGTAACCTTTTTTTGACACAGCCACTTGGGCCGACCTAATGACTTTAATAACATGAAAAAGTAACTGAACTAAATAAGGATGAATAAAATGTCTGCCCACAGCTTTCTAACGACTAGTCAAAATATAAATGTTGACTAGTCAAGAAAACTGTAAAAAATCTTTAATTATTCTATAATTATTCTTAAATGATTAATTATTATATCTTTAAGTAGAGGGCTCTGTTTCACCTTTAACACCACCCAACAGTGATATCACAGTGTACTGACACACCCTTGAGTACACTGACACATCATATTAAGACTGTGAGATTGCTCAATAGTTCTGAAATAATAATGGACTGATTAAACTGTCCCATAGCTTCAAAGTATATGACAACCTTCCCAAACCATTAACATCCGAGTTTTGATTCCAAACCAATCCAGATATAGGCACTGGTCACCAGTGCCTTTGCTGCATTACAGATGTTTACCTCAGCATCCCAAGGCTCCCAGCAGCTCATACATGAAAGAAGTGAGCATGGAGAAGTGGTGTGCACCCAGTGATCGCAGGGCAGGGGGGGCAGAAGTACCTGTGGTGACAATGCCGAGGGCAAGGCCGCGTCTCTTGTCGAAGTATTGACAGGTGATGGTCAGCGTGGCTGCGTACACCAGACCGCAACCCAGACCTATGTAGGACAAAACATAAAGACAGACAGAAAATAATTCCCATTAGCTCAGGTTAAGGGGGGGCATTCAAGTAAAATGTGTTATTTAAATTCCAAAAAGTGTAAAGGATTACATTGTTACGTTGTTGTTACATTGTGCTCTTTGTATTTAGGTGGATTCAGGAAATCAATGCAAAGGTGTATGGACAATGTACATGCATCCGTAAACTTGGGGGGCAATGTGCATGATTTCTTGTTCAGTGTACAGTAAGTAGTAAAAGATTAAAAAAAAAGAATATGATGGAGCAGTAAACAAGCTGCAAGTGTATGTTCAGCCACAGCTATCATCAAAGCGCATCTCTAAAAATAAATAACTGTCTTGAAATATGCATGGCCTCCCCTATCAGAGATGCCCCTTTGAAGAGGCAGTGCCGACAGTGAGGGGGTTTACAAGGCTTAACACGGCTGAGCTGTCTCTTAATGCGTGATAACAGGTGGTGTTGGGCAAACACCGACACACTGGTGAGGCTGCGGAGGCTACAAAGGGTGACATGGGGATCAGGCTAAGCCATATATATATTACTTTTCTGTCAACATGCCAAAAAATACAAACAACAATGTCAAACAAAGAGGTGCAAGTGTCACGTCTCAGTGTGATTCTACATGCTGTAAGTGGAAATGGTATTCACTTAAATGGTAATATAGGAGCTAGTCAACTTTTTAATGTTGCATAATAGTCAGAGTTGACATGTACCCTGCTTCTTTAAATGATTATACAATGTGCTTCAAGATTCTCATATGTAAGAGGGTTAAGAAGCTTAGTAACCTCCCATGACAAAACATCAAACTTATTATTTTTCTCACAATATAAAGACCCAAGGCTCTACCTGAGTGTCTTTGTGAGAGTATTACAGTGTTTCCAGGGGTACTTGAGGATGACCATCAAGTGGTTCCTTACCAACCACGATCCCATAGGAAAAGATGAGGAACTGGACATTGGGAGCAAAGGCACTGAGCATCAGGCCGCCTGACACCATTACTCCACTGAAGATGGTCACGGGACGAGCCCCAAAATTGTCAACACAGGCACTGCAGATTGGACCTGGGAGAAGTTAAAAGGACAGGGGCAAAGAAAAGAGATGAAAGGGGGAGAGATACAAAGAGGGGATAAGAGAGAGACAATGGGAACAAAATTGTTTATAAAACAAAACAAAATGATGATATCAGGCAGCTTTACTTGTTGTGTTCTGTATAAAGGCTTCC